TTTGGGCTTGTCAGCTCTAGAATGGTGGCAAGTCTGCCTGCAGCCATTGTCAGAACCAAATCTGAGCTATTCTCACATGCTCCAATAAATGGGAGATCAAATACAGTTTAAGAGATACAGGTCATAAAAGTTCAATGTTTTTTCTCTTTTGTTTAATGAAAAGGAAGACTACGTCTACTATTCCTAACCAAAAAAATGAAGACAGTATTTTAAACAATTATATTTGTTTAAAAAATAAAGTCCTGCCAGGCAGGTGGACTAACAGCTAACTTGACTTTTAGCTGCAGATTCTACTTCCCTTCATGTGGTAGCTATTCACCAAAGATACCAATGAACTGCACCTCTTGGTATTTATACCTGCCTCTAGTCCTTTCCTTTCAGAGTCAAAGGAAGTTTTGCAGCTTCTATTTGAGTCTCTTGGAACACTTGCTCTGGATAAAGCCAGTTGTCACGTTAAAAGTCTGACTACCCTGAGACTACTATGCTTTGAGAAAGCTCAAGCTGCCACATAAAGAGGCCATGCAAAGAAAGAAATGCCTAGTAAGCTCTTAGCTATTTCAGGCATCTCAGCTGATGGGCTATACATGTGACCAAAGAAGCCATCTTGGACATCCAGCTGAGTTGACCCTTCAGATGACTCCTGGTGTCATATGACTGCAACCACCTGCAAGAACCAAAAACTTCCTTAGCCAAGCTCAGTCAATGCACAGGACCATGAGAGATAATAATACATTGTTTTAAGCTACCATGTTTTGATGTGATTTTTTTACACAGCAATAGATAACCTGAACACCTCAGAGACTGGGGGAGAAAGATGCAGACAGATGGTGGCTAAATAATAAGTGAGTAGATTGTTACAGCTCAGTTGTTGGAAGCTCTTTTGATATGATATGAACCTCAAATATGTTCTAAGGGATCTTAGACACTAGTGATGTGATGAACATATACTCATGGATATGTATAACAGAGCAAAGATAGGAAAGATGCTCCTGGGGGCTGTGTGAGATGGGGACATACTTAATGGAGCTAAGAAGTAGGAGAGAACCTCGAAGTCATTTAATACAGCAGTATAATTGTCATCCCCCACTCTTTGTTCATTTTGGGGTATCTAGATATCTGAAATATGTAGATAACTGGAAGATAAACAAAAGGTTTCAACAGGTTATTTAGAGTAATGAGGAGAGGATATTATGAAAGAAGAGTAAGGGCCCTGAATTAGGAGAACCTAACTGAACAGTGGTTAAGAAATGGCAGCATATGAGGATGTCAGTGCCAAAGAGAAAGTCATATCTAAGTCATTTGTAAGATTGGGTTAGAGCCAATGAGGGAGGAGGACAAAGTGGGCCAGAGAGCAATAAAGTCAAGAGAAGAGACAGGCCCAGGTTGTTTAAATAGTGGGATTTTTAGATTAAACTTTTTCCAGTCAGCCACAACTTCAACAAGCAAAGTTTGGTTTAGCAGAAATTGTACCAATGTGCCAACTGGGAGATTTTTGTTCAGGCAGTGTAAACTTGGCAAGTCCTTTATCCTCTCTTGGTCTCAGGAAGGCATGTTATAACTTATAAAAAGCTCTACCAAGGCAAAGTATTATATTAATTATAGTAAAAAGAGGAGTAGTACTTTGTAAAATCTAAGCTTCTTTTCAACTATAAAATCTTATGATTATAAACCAATGATTTTTAATCAGTGTGCTACAAGAGGCACTCTGGTATGCCTCAAGAATTTTTAAAATATGCAATACTTGACTATTTAGTCAGGGGCACTGACCTCTTTACCCTCAACAATACAATAACACAATAGCTGAAGGGTGTGAATGAATCAAAATTATACCTATTTTTTTTGTCAGATCAGCAAAAAATATAATGTATTTTTGGGTGTGCTACAGAATTTTAGTAATTAGTTTATGTGTGCCATCAGATGAAAAACATTGAAAATCACTGTTCTAAATCATAGAAACAGGTAACAGTTTTACAATTTAAGAATTAGATAATTAGGCTTATAGATTGGAGATATATATCAATATATAAAGCTTTGATTGAGATTTTATTTAATACATGTAGGGAAAGCTTTCAGTAAGGAAAAGAATCTTAGATTTATTTCCTGATATATCCCAACTACCTAGAACAATGGCAACATGTGGCAGGGACTAATAAAAATATTTGTGGATGACTAATTGAGTTATTCCTGGGAAACCTAGGACAAAATTGCCAGAGGGGAGGGGATAGAGGCACTGGGTGAAAAAGGTGAAGAGACTGAGAATGGCAGACTGGTAGTTACAAAATAGGAATGGGGATGTAAAGTACAGCATAGGGAACATAGTCAATAATATTGTAACAACTATGTATGGTGTCAGCTGGATTACTAGAAATATCAGGGAGAACAGTTTGTAAAGTATATGATTGTCTAACCACTATGGTATACATCTGAAACTAATTCAAAATAATATTGAAAGTAAATTATAATTGAAAAAAATTTTAAATTTAAAACATGGCCTAAAACATAGACACATCTACTATAAGACTATCCTTATCTATTATTTTTACATTTTTTTCTCACTTAGGTCACCTAGTCCTATTGCTTGACAAACACAAATACCCAATTACTGAATAATGTTTAGTCTTGGTTCACTTCTTCATTTTAAAGATAAATAGGGAACAGTGTATTTTCCCCAACTAATGTTAACTCACTAATTTATGATTTTTTAAACTTAAACTTTTTATTAAAATATCAAACACATAAAGTAAATAGACTATTCATCATCCAGATTCAGCAGTTATCAACATTCTATGATTCTACTTTTATTTATACCTCTACTACTTATTCCCACTGAATTATATGTGATTATTTAAAAAAATAAGCTGACTAATGAAATAGAAACAGAGGCATGGATACATGAAACAGACTGACCGCTATCAGAGGGGATGGGGGAGGGGTACTAGATAAAAGAAGGTGAAGGGATTAGCCACAAGACATATATACATAACCCATAGACACAGACAAGAGCGTGGTGATGGCTAGCAGAAAGAGGGCCAGGGGCTAGGTGTAGGTGGGCAAAGGTGGGGAAAATGGTGAGATCTGTAACATTGTCAACACTAAAAATAAAGTTTTAAAAAATAGATTTTCCTATATTGACTCAAACAAAATTTAATATTCCATTTATTTTATCCTATCATTTGTAGGTGTTTTAATTTCTCTTTTTTTAATTTTATTTTAATTTATTTTTTCAAATACATTTGTCTCTGTCTACCCCCCACCACTTTCCCTTGCCCCCTCCTTTTTTCCCTCCCTCAGCTCTTCCCCTTTGGTTTTGTCCATGACTCCTTGCTATACGTTCCTTGACTTTCCCCTTCCCTTCCTTTTCCCCACCCCCCATCCATCATTCAGTAAACTACTGAGTTGCAAAGAATTTCCCTTGGGTGCTTTTTTTTTCTGATTCTGGATTAAGTAAAACAATTTCAGAAAGGCTCTCTGTGGATAAACCCCTGTACATAGGGTTTAATAGCTATTCTATTTAGAAAGAGATCCATAGTAGTCAGGTTTCTTGGTTGCAAACATTAGAATTTACTGTAGCTGGTTAAGAGAAAACATATCTAATAGTTATGAGTCTCAATAGCCCCTCTGAAAGGATTAGAAACCCAGGATTAAAGATCTATAGGCAGGAACAATATTCAAATACTGCTTCAGGATGGCTCTAGAAAGGGCTTTACCATTAGAGAGAAATCTGTGGTGTATGGACCCATTACTGCCACCACAGATCGCTCCATTGATCCTAGGCAATGGATGTTGAACTTTTGTCATCATTGTCCCTGAAGGCCATTTTCTCTGCCATCACCTCTTTCAAGAATGGTCTCCACTCTGTCTGCTTCCTCACATTTATCTCTTTTAAACTGAAATCTCCCTGGGTATCCTTCATTGACTGAGTCTGTTAGTTGGTTGAAGTGTTTACTTGTATACTCTAGCTTCCAGGAAGGCTAGAAGAGTGAGTTTCTGGCTTCTTGGTGGGGAAAACAGGACAGGTGGGCTATTCATCCCACACTTAAGTGTTCAAAAGTTGTGGATGGCTGAAAATTATGACATAAATTTATTAAAATATCTTTAAAACCCAATGATCACTGAAGGAATTTCTAGACTCTTTGAAAAGGATAATACAGTTTACATGCTATAAACAATTTATACATTCCTTCTCCAGTGGGGAAAATCATAATTGTTAGCTTTAAAAAAAGTCATATGTACTATTTTCAAGGGAGGGAGAAACAGATCAACCTGGGGACTGAAACTGTAACCAAGGTATGTACCCAGTCTAGGTGTTGAAGCCAAAATCCTTCAGTATATGGAATGACACTCCAGCCAACTGAGCCACACCAGCCAGTAACAGAGCTGCCGGTCACTTTAGAGATCTTCACCATGTAGCAGCATTTTCTCCTCAGCTTCCCCAACTCTACCACCTTAGAGTTTTTCTAAAATAGTTGGTATTCTAAGGCATTCTTTGATATGATATTTTCTATAGTTATGCAATTTTCTCTCATTAAAAAAAAGTTTTCTAGGAGAATCAAGATGGTGGAGGAGTGAGTGGAAGTCACCCTGACCTCCTCCCAGGACCCATCTGGAATTACAACTAAATTGGGGAGAAATCATGTGGAACACACAACAGAATAGTGCAACAGGAGCCTTTTAACCTTGGGCAGACAGAAGAATCAGCTTTAGCACAACCTAACTGGTAGGGAGTATGGTAGAGACTCGAGAAGGTGGGCAGGGCACTCACAGGTGGCAGCACTAGAGGGATATTAAAATGGCCAATTGGATCCCCCTAAGATGAGCAAGGTCTAAGCCATAAGCAGGGATCTCCAGCCTACAGCACAAAAGCCCAAAAAGTACACAGGTAACACCAGCTGTGAAAAGTGGCAAGGTTGCTCTCTGTCAGAGACAGGCAGCTGGAGATGCAAAGAGCCGTTTAAACTGCCAATACAGGTTTTCCGCTGTGCAGCTGCCCTACTCCGCGCACTCTTTACAGTGGAGGCCTTGGAGTAGGCCTTTCTGTCCATTCATACTCCAGTACATGGGCCGCCAGTTGTTTTTTGTGCGCTCTCAGACTGAAAACGTGACGGCTCCCTTAGGATGAAGTTCGTAAGATTTTTGATGAAATTGAGTCACGAAACTGTAACCATCGAATTAAAGAATGGAACACGGGTCCATGGAACAATCACAGGTGTAGATGTCAGCATGAATACTCATCTTAAAGCTGTGAAAATCACCCCAAAGAACCGAGAACCTGTACAGCTGGAAATGCTGAGTATTCAAGGAAATAACATTCGATATTTTATTCTACCTGACAGCTTACCTCTGGATACACTACTTGTGGATGTTGAACCAAAGGTGAAATCTAAGAAAAGGGAAGCTGTTGCAGGAAGAGGCCGGGGCCGAGGAAGAGGACATGGCCAGGGCAGAGGAAGAGGGGATCCTAGGCAATAATGCCTCTCAAGATTACTATTTCAAAGTGCCATGTCCATTGAGATATTATTTGTAAAGGTTTTGTGTGTTTATGTCAGTTTTTAATAAACATAAATGTAGGCCAGCTGTCTATTGACTACATCAAATTTAGTTTTAATAATTCATGTATATTTGTGACATTAACACAGTAATAGCTGAGTATTATTACATGGCCATCCCAGAATAATTATTTTGTTTGTTTTACTTTTTCACTCCATGAAACCTAACAGGTGAAGTGGGTTTTGTTACTTAAGAAGCTGAAGTCCTGTGGAATGGGGTCTAAAATTGATTCTCCTTTCCTGAGTTTTACTCCATGGAGACTTGGGTACTTAGTAAAAGGTGATAGTCATCTTCATTGATTTTGTTGTGATGAATTTTTTTGGTTTTAATTTTTTTTCAACAGTTTCTCAATAGTATATAGTTTTACATTCTTCTGCTTTGAAACTTCAGGTGATGTTCACTAGGTTGAAATGTGTTAATGTGCAATATACCTGTCAGTGGCTCCTTTATCAAGTACTTTTACAAGAAGTCCTTTAAGAACAAAAGGAAAAAGACCTTTTTTATGTGATGGCAAAACTGGATTCATTTCAGTAGTTAAGAATTTTTTTTAATCATTTCAATTAGTTAAGCTTAGAGAAAAACACTTCTCAGTTTATACAGTTCCTTGTAAATCTTACTACCATTTGTTTATAGGCTAAAGGAAAAATACTTTGAGTATTGGGAGGAATTACATCTGTATTTTGACTTAATGATGCTTGCGGAGTTTTCTTTTTTAAATGTGGAAATTTCCTGCAAAGACTAAAAAGGTTTTAGGCCCTGCAAATTGAGAGATAGCAAGAGCATTTGTGTGTGGTATGTGGAGGTGCATTTCAATCTCTTCTACCCACTGATCTGTTGGTGTTCCTATTGTTTGAATTTAAGCAGAAGACAAGAGAGTCCTATGAAGCAGCAAGGTCGAGAGGAGATTTAAAGTGAACAAACAGAAAAGACCTGTCACAGGTGAACAAACATAAATTGACTCCTGCCCTCATGGACCTTGTAGGCTAAAAGGGAAGCAAAATTAAATAAACATTGATAAATAACTGCAAAAAAAATTAAGTGCCAATGCATAAATTTTTGTTTGTAGTTGCTTACCCTGGGCTCCAGCAAAGGCGGGGCACAGTGGGCTGGAAACACCTGAGGAGAGACTGGGGAAGGAGGCTTTGGAGAGAGAACTAAGGGTAGCCAGCAGGATCCTGGTGCTGCCTCCTCCCCCATTCTGCAGCAGCACTCTGGCTCAGGCAGACCACTCCCATTGGGGGCAGCAGTGTGAGAGGACCCAATAACCCTGCCCCCAGAAGGGACTCTGCCCCGCCCTGTGGTGTCTGTAAGCCTGACTGATGAGTGCAGAGCAACTAGATTAAGAGTTGAAGGAGACAGCCACAGACCATAGATCCCTGGAAGTCTCAAACAGACTGCCTAAGATAATATGGGGCAACACCTGACATCATCAGAGGCAGATCCACAAAGAAAAAAAAAAAACACGGATCTCCTACCATAGAAGTTCACACAACAAAGTCAGGAAGTCAAGACAGATCAATTTAAGAAGCAAAAGCAAAAAAGAAGAGTCTCACAAATAATGGGGAGACAAAGAAACACCCCCTCCCCCAGTTGAAGAGAAAGGAAGAATCCCCAGAAAGAGAATTAAATGCAATAGAGACAAGTAAACTATCAGCTATTGAGTTCAAAACAACAGTTCTAAGGAAGCTCAATGAGCTCAGTGAGCTCAGAGAGAATTACAAAAACTACAGGAAAACTATGCGGAACTTATTGCGAACTATATCAGCATGAAAAAGTTTATATGAAAGGACATTTAAACTATTAATAAGAGACAAGAGGAAATGAAGAATACATTTTCTGAATTGAACACAGTAGAAGGAATCAAAAGCAGGTTACATGAAGCCAAGGATCGAATCAGCAACCTGGAGGATAAGGTAGAAAAAAAGCTCCAGAAAGAGCAAGAAAATGAAAAAGGACTTAAAAAGAATGAAGAGGAATTTAGGGAAATGCAGGACAACATGAAACATAATAATATCTATATAACAGAGATACCAGAAGGAGAAGAGGATGAGGAAGGGATAGAGGACCTGTTTGACAAAATAATGATAAAAACAAACTTCCCTAATTGGAGGAGAGAAAAAGTCACACAGGTCCAGGAAGCACAAAGGGTCCCATTCAAGAGGGACCCAATGAGGCCTACTCCAAGGCACATCATAATCAAAATGACAAATATCAAAGACAAACAGAGAATCCTAAAGGCAGCAAGGGAGAATCAGGTAGTAACTTATAAGGGAGCTCCGATATGGCTAGCAGCTGACTTCTCAACAGAAACATTACAAGCCAGAAGGGAATGGCAAGAAATATTCCGTCATGAAAAGTAAAGGCCTGCAACCAAGACTACTCTACCCAGCAAGACTCTCAATTAAAATGGGAGGTGAAATAAGGAGTTTCCCAGACAAAAGAAGGCTAAAAGAATACACCTCCACCAAACCAGCATTTCAAAATATGCTAAAGGGACTGCTTTAAGAAGAAAATGACTCTATGAATACAGTTCCTTTCACAGTCACCAATACTGTATATTACCAATATTTTTAATACTTATTAATCTGATTGTGACAATGATGTGTTATTTTGTTACTTTATTATTTGTTGAAACTAAACCTGTTTTTCAATGTATATTTCTTGCCTATTTCTATTATTTTAAAAGAAAAGCTTTAAATGACTTTTTTATCCATTTTTTAATTAAATGTTTGTAGAATAATTTTCCTTAAAAAAACCCAATAACTATTAACCCTTTTATAGATGTGTTGCAATTACTTTCCTATTCTATTACTTGTCCTTTAACTTTTTTACATGAATACTACTGTATAGTCTTAATTGTTTAATATAGTCATATTGTAAATATTTTACTTTATAGGTTCTAGGTCTGAATATGTTCCTTCAGGGTAAGAAAAATATTACTTTTTATTTTCATCTAAAACTCCTTAGATTTTACTTACTGATTTTTAACTCACTTGAATATTTGTTGTATAATGTGTGTAATAGGGCTCTATATTTGTTTTATTTCAAGTAATAATGATCCATGAACCTTATATGTTGAATAAGCCTTATTTTCCCCATTGATTTGAAATATCAATTGAATCATATATTACACCGTTAGAGATATACATTTGTTTCTAGAATGCTCATTTTATTTCATTGATCTACTTGATTATTTCTGTGCAACTGTAGTGAATGCTGAGACTTTATAATGGATCTTGACATTAAAAAAAATAAATAAAATTAATCTGCATTTCAAAAGAAAAGAAAGAGAAAAGGAACTCCTACCTTTTGCGATAACATTGATGGAACTGGAAAATATTATGCTAAGTGAAATAAGCCATTTGGTGAAAGACAAATACCATGTGATCTCACCTATAAGTAGAACCTAATCAACAAAGTAAACTAACAAACAAAATAAACCAGAGGCAAGGAAACATGGAGCAGGCCGAAAGTGACCTAAGGGGATGGGGAAAGAGGACATGGTGGAAAGAAGTAGAAGGGACTAAACGAAGAACATGTATGAATGACCCATGGACATGGACAACAGAGTAGGAATTGACTGTGGGAGAGGGAGGCAGGGTAGGATGGGTGGAGGAGGGCAAAGGGGGAAATATTGAGACAACTGTAATAGAATAAACATGATTTTTAAATAAATAAATAACAATAAAAATAGTATGCTTCCCTTCATATGGAAGGATGCATCTCAAATACAATAAAAATGTGATGTTAACTGATATATACTAACTTACTCCACAGGAATTTTACAATTATAGGTATGATAACATATTTTTCTAAGTGAACACAGTAAAGTGAGCTACCTACTTTCTATTATAAATAAAAAGAAAAAAGACTAAGGAGATAAGACATTAACTGTTATAAACTTATAAATATATAGCAGAATATTTATAATTCACTTGAAACCTCTTTAGTTTGACCCATACTATCTATCATGTCCCTTTCTGCTACTTGCTGAAAGACCATAGTTCCTCTTTTAAGTAAAATTTGGATAATTCCTTTCAAATGACAAAGAAGGCTCCACATTATGTAAAGAAATATTGAAATGCCTTTATTCCACATTATCCAGAATAATAAAATAAATATATCAAAGGTCACTCTAGAAAATGATTTTGTGTAAATAACTTATGCTAGCCTTCCCCTGAATGATAGAAACCATGAAGTCAGCACAAAAAACACTTCTTGCAATTGATTTTCTTCCCTGTATCACTAAAATAACCAGCTACTTATAAAATAATCACCAGTACAGTCATTGGAAATGTTTGAAGTGTTTAAATTGTCCTCTCTTCATTTAAGAAATGGAATTTCATAGGGAAATCAGTGAAAATATACTACAAAAGTGTTTGACGACTTGGACTAAAATCAGCCATTAGTTAAAGTCTGTTTTATGTTGCTTAGATTTATTTATGTTGCTTTTAGATTTACCAGTTCTTTTATTTTGTTTTTCATCATTGAATGCAAACGAAACATTTAGGAGATGTAGGCCAACCTGAATGTCAATGTGAAACATGAATAAGGACAACTTCATTCTGATTAATCAGGTTCTGGATTTTACTAACACAGAGCGTTTCATGATCGTGAAGGGTTTGAATATTTTGCAATTTTTCTACTGGCTTGAGGAAAAAAAGTATTACAATATTATGCCTTTCCATAAAAATGTTAAAGGCTTACTCTGAAATAAATAAAAATCATATTTACAACCTCTAATAAATGCTAGCAAAGGAAGGAAAGAAAAAAGAATAATTTAAAATAAACAGTTTTATTAGTTTTCTATTACTGTGGAACAAATTAGCACAAATTTAGGAGCTTAAAACATTATGCACTTATTATCTTATAGTTTCTAAAAGTCAGGAGTCTGGTCACCACTTATCTGGGTCCTCTGATCA